AGTTTTTTGACAGGCCGCGCTCGGCCCGCTATAGGCCCTGCCATGAGCTGGGTTGTGCCAACCCATGGACTACGAACCCCTGGCCCAGCACGGCACGAACCATTGTGCCAGGCTTGACATGGCCTGATTTACACCTCTAGATGGGAACCAGGCTATTAAAACCCAAATCCTGCATAGCACTACTGCCTCAAATTGAAAAAATGTCACAAGCCAAGAAAGCCAAAGGGGGTCCTCTAGGTATCCAACCATAGGACTCTTCTTGACCCACTCTATGTTTCTCTTGTCCTTAACAGACTTGTCACTGCTGTCACATATAGCATTAGTAAAGCAATTGAGCTATTTTGCACAAATTAGAACTGCCCAACTAAAGAGAGACAGAGAGACAGAGAGAAAGATGAAGAGATGATGGATATGCTATTGAGTCAAGGTTATTGTTTGTCCTGAAGGGATTACCCATATAGAGAGCCATATTTTCTTACGGACAGGCCCAATGCAGATCTCTGAATTCCACTGCAGACCTATAAACATTCAAAATGTCAAAAATCCTCACTCTATACATCAATGCCCACCCTTGAATTGGCATCAATTCCGAACTGGCACCTACCGCAGCTGTACTTTGGCCTAAAAATTCTGACCCTGGGCTGAACCGTCATTCTCCCTATTTGTTCTTGTGGCCATTGACGTGTGTGTTAGCTTGTTCTTTGTATTGGAGAATTCTCTCACTCAACCGGCTGTCATCAAAACAAGGAAGGTTCCACACAATCTTCAACATGTTTCCTAGTCGATATTACTTATTGTTTTGGCTTTTTTTTCCTTTTATTTTTCTTTAGATTTGTTATATGAAAATGTAAAGTTTTCATTGTATGATTCACTCTCTTAATTAATAATTGGAGCCTAGGCCGATTGACCTAGTGCATCTTATTCAATTTTCTTGAACTCTATAATATTAGTCTAGAGGTGTAAATCAGGCCATGCCACCTRTGACCTGAATTTGGATCGATCGTTATGATGGCATGTGGGTCATGTCAGGCCTGACATGATGGTTTGGGCCGTGTTGGGCCTGGGGTTCCAGGTCCATAGGCTGGCACGACCTGTCATAGGCCAGCATGCAATGGCCTACGAGCCGCGCTCAGCCCACTCGATGAACTAGCCATTGGGGATCCCCAATGGCTAATTTCAGCTTTTTGGTTTTTTTTATAGAAAAACCCTCCTAGCAGCTATAAACAACTATATAGGGGGGTATTTATGTATTTTGGTTTTTTTTTTGGGGGAGGGAGAAAGAATGACACAAATTCCCCCCAACAACTATATAACAACTACTTTGAGGGGAGAGCAAATTTTGGTAAAGTGATAAATAACTTTATAATGACCAAAATACCCCTCCAAACAACTAAAAAATGGCTAGTTTTTAGGGTATTTTGGGCAATTGAATTATTTTCAATTCATATAAATGGCCATATCCTCTACCATTCTCATCACACCAATTCAACAATTCCTATAAATGGTCCTATCCTCTACCATTTTCAATTCCTATAATGATCAAAGTCAAGAATAATAGGAGAAAATAATGAAGTCAATATTTTTTATACTCAATAGTTGTATAGCATTTTTTCAAATTATTGTAAATTTAATTTTAATTTTATTTAATTTATTAGATATTTTTAATAACATGATTTTTTATTTTCAATTTGTAACTATATTGTATTTGTTTATATTTTATTAATTTATTCTATTTTCCAATTTTCATATTTCATTCATCCAACCATTATATGCTTTATATCATTCAAATTTAAATGAAATAAAATTCCCATTTTTCTTCTAACTTGTTATTCACTTTAAGTCTTTGTCTCTTTGACTTCTTATTTGGTTAAGTATTTTTTTTTTCATTTCTTTGTTAGATTTATTATTTTTTCAAATAGTTCCCAAAGGAAAGTTAAATGTTTTAGTTTTACTTAACAAAGAAATAAAAAAATAAAAAATGTTAAAAATAACCAGTTTGACCCAATTCGGCCCATGGCCAAAGCCTGGCGGCATGGCCCAGGCCCACGACACGGCACAGGATGGCCCATGGGCCAGCATGACACAACCCACACTTTGCACGGGCGCACAACCCGTTAGCCAAAGGTAGAGAACTGAGTTTTTCATCATTTGGACTTCCTCTGCTTCCTCTTAAACTCAAAGCTCTCTTGCAGTAGCAACAATAATTAATGGAGTTGTTACTATACCCAATCTTAATCTTCCTACTACCATTGCCGGTTTGATCAATGTCTAACTTGATCACCACAACTATTTGATGTGGAGATCACAATTTATACTCATTTTGGAGGGTTTTGTGCCATAGGTTTCATTGATGGCACAACTGGTCGACCAATCAAGACCATATTGCTAAAGGTGATACTGGATAATCTGTTAACCTAGAATTTGCTCTCTGGGAATAAGACCAATTCATATTGAGTTGGATACTATTATGATATCAAGACATCAAGAGCATGTGCTACATGTGCTACTCAACTTCCCCAACTAGCATTCCAGCTGGCGCCTCCTTGATCTTGGTTTCTTGCCACTTGCTCGACAATCTGATAGCCATCAAATTGTATTTATAAATACCATTGCGTACCACTAAGAAGCTGAATGAAAAAGGTTTCCCTTTATCTCCTAAGGTTACTATCATTTTGTCGCCTTATCGCAAACTACCGTCGCTTCATCACAAGTTGTTGTGACCATTGCTCACTTGCTGTCGCTTCATCACAAGTTATGCTAAGCTGCATCTTCTTTCCCCATCGCAACTCTACGATTTTACATGGTATCAGAGCAAATAGTCTGATCAATCGCTGCATCTTGGGTTCCTCAGTGACGCCGACAACTCTGTTCTTCATCAGATCACAAGAAAATGGTGGTTAGAAGTAGCGGGTGTAGAGACGTTGACATTAGAGACACAAACTTCTCTGGTCCTACATCTCCATACTATCTTGGCACCTTAGACAACCCCGACATGGTGCTAGTCACCACTCTTTTGAACGGTGACAACTATCCGACTTGGAAAAGAGCAATGACCAATGCTCTATGGGCAAAGAGCAAGATCAGTTTTGTTGATAGCACAATATTGAATCCGGATCAGACAAGACCAGTAGAGCTCTTTGCTTGGAAGAAATGTAATTCAATGGTCATATCTTAGATTTACAATGCCTTGGCCAGAGAGTTACATGACAGCGTTGCTTACCTGGATGGTTCCTGCACAATCTGGTTGGATCTTGAAGAAAGATTCTCACAGGGAAATGTTCCCCACGTATTTCACTTGAAACA